CCTTGCATAGAATCAAGCTATACTTTACTGCATACTGCTATTGCATCTCTAGAGACCGTATGACTTAAGCCCCTAAATCTAACAAAAATACTAAGAAACCTTTAAAATAATCCTTTAACACTAACATTAGTGGCTGAGATGAGCAATTATACATATTATTCTCGATGTAGAAGCGGCTGAACTAGTGTAGTGAGGCCTGCTAACGCTTCTATGCTACAGGCGAGGCTGACCGCAATATGACTTAATGACTACCATAAGCAGTTTGAGAGTATATGTCAGCTTGGCGCTAGACTGTCTTGACAATAGCCGTGCCACAATGGGGCGTCTGCTTAGCAGTAAGCAGCTTATGCTTCTCTGAGGCGGCGAAAGAGGCCTGATTCGTGCTAAAATAGGCTTAGCGTTAGGGTTGCATACCATAAATGGACTCCTTATTAGGTCTGATTCGCGAAATCTAACACCCCTAATTTATCACTACATAACTAACACTTTTAAGTACTTAGTCCCTATATAAAACTTTATCGCGTATACTCAAATAGTAAGTCTATACTTATTAGGATTAAAGATTCCCAATAGGAATCCTCTAAAAAATAGTCTGTGCGTAGTTAGGAGGATTGCCAGCATCTTTAAGCTAGTACTATACATATTAGGATTCAGGATCAGGACTGGTTATTCTGTGAAAAGTGGCCCCTGCTAACCTAGGCTAGTCCTAGCTAGGCTAGTGCTTAGGATAACCGGTCCTGGTAGACTAGCCTAATCTAGACTAGTAGGATAACCGGTCCTAACCAATATGATACGACGGGACAGCCCTTCCCCGCGCTAGAACCCGCTTAGCGTTAGGGTAGAAAACCAAATTAGGCGAATATTTAAGGGATGCCCCGCGTACCCCAACACAGCTGCCCCACAACATTTTTTTATCGTTATTAAAAACTATGTTATACAAAGTTAACTTAAAAGCGCATGCACAACCTGCTACTAGAGTTTTACTATGTGTAGCTAGAGTTTGTTGTTATTAGAGTTGCGTTCTTAGGGTTGCGCGACAATGGAGAACCCCACATGGAACAGTTAAGCGCCCATCAAGCAGCACGACAGCAGCAACGCGCGCGCCATAGACGTGCAGCACTAGCCAAAGATCGTTACGAAGGAGAATTGCGACGATGTATTTTGCTTTCTTAGGCAATATAAAGTGCTTGTGTGCAGGCAGCACTGCACAGGCGTCTTGAATCTTAACAGGCATCTACAAGAACAGCACAAGACGCCCGTACAACAGCGACAAGAGGTTGTTCAATATTTCAATCAATTTTCCACAGCAGAGCCGAGCACAATTCAACTTCCCAGGCAGCCAGCGAAAGCAATACAAGAGCTAGGGGCGCCGTTAGATGGTCTTAGGTGTATAGCATGCAGTTACATTACCGTAAGCAGCAACGAAATGCGGAAGCACTGTAAAAAAACACACGAGCTTCCGTGGATCAGTGACAAGAGTAGTCTATTTACTTTAGTTAAAGTTTAGACGTTTTTTAACAGTAGAGGGCTGCGCAAATATTTTGTTATTAATATGGATGCTAAGATTAGTCGCGGAAGTAGGCAGCAATAAAGCGTTGATAAGCAACAACTTAATAACTACAAACAAGTCCAAAAGCAACTTGAAGACGCAGAACAAGTCGTAGGAGAGACAGCAAAGACTGATAAGACGCTCTAGTTTAAGCGCACGCAATAGCCAGAGCATTTTAAGGACCGCAATCTAGTGCATCTAGCACATTAAGTCTAGCTACCTAATAAAAACGAACTAAAGCTGCAGCTTGCCGCGAAACTTACAGAGCAGCTTATCGAAAACTGTGTTAAGAATCTTGCAACAATTCCGCAAGAACTACGCTGTTGGCTTCGCAGCGCAAAACAGCACGAGGTTGACCCGCGACCATTGGCACGGCTGCAAAACCTAACCAATATGAGGCGCGGGTTATCCCATAACCCGCGCCGAAACAGGCTTAGCGTTAGGGTTTCTGCCCGTATCGGGCCATTTTGACCCCCCAAACCCGCGTTGTTTTGACACCCATAAGCCGCACTATTTAGGCTTAGCGTTAGGGTTGACTTAACCCCAAGTACACCCCAATATAGGCCCTAGAGGGTGTCATAGCATATATAGTGACTAAGAAAGTCTTTTGCAGTCTCCCCAATAGCAGTGCGAAACTCGCAGCGTTGTATATACAAGTGTATGGGGTAGTCGCTGCATCTAGGGTTAGGGTTAGGGCTTAACCCTAAGCTAACCCCCAAGTTTAGGGTTACCAAGAAAGTCTCAACAGCATCGCGACACAACAGAACAACGCCCGATGGGGGTATCTTGGAAAGTTTTCTAGATGCCCCCCAGGTATCTCGTCTTTTTCTATCTTCTACTAGTTGTTG